TTTCTGGGAGAGAACTCACTTCTGATAACTGCATTACATTAGTTATGGCTTTGTGTTTTGTGTTGTCGACCTAGTAGTACCTTGGTTGTGACAAACAAGTCGCTTCTCGCAACGGTACCGTCCTTGATTTTGTCCTGTATCGCTTCTCCGACTTCTTGCTCGTTTCCATACACCCATGCGCAGTCCACGTGTCTGTAGCCCTCCGCGATAGCAGCTTTAATTGCATCCCGGACAGCGCCAGGTGCAGCCTGAAACATCCATGCAGTCATCAATGCGTCATCCGTGTTACAGTAGCATGCAGTCGTCAATACGTTAGCCGTGTTACAGTAGCAGACAGTCATCAATACGTCAGCCGTGTTACAGTAGCAGAGTCATCAATACGTCAGTCGTGTTACAGTAACATACAGTCATCAATACGTCAGCCGTGTTACAGAAGCATGCAGTCATCAATACGTCAGCCGTGTTACAGAAGCATGCAGTCATCAATACGTCAGCCGTGTTACAGAAGCATGCAGTCATCAATACGTTAGCCGTGTTACAGTAGCAGACAGTCATCAATACGTCAGCCGTGTTACAGTAGCAGAGTCATCAATACGTCAGCCGTGTTACAGTAGCATGCAGTCATCAATACGTCAGCCGTGTTACAGTAGCATGCAGTCATCAATACGTCAGCCGTGTTACAGTTGCATGCAGTCATTAATACGTCAGCCGTGTTACAGTAACATGCAGTCATCAATACGTCAGCCGTGTTACAGTAGCAGACAGTCATCAACACGTTAGCCGTGTTACATTTGCAGATAGTCATCAATACGTCAGCCGTGTTACAGTAGCATGCAGTCATCAATACGTTAGCCGTGTAACAGTAGCATGCAGTCATCATTACGTCAGCCGTGTTACAGTAGCATGCAGTCATCAATACGTCAGCCGTGTTACAGTAGCATGCAGTCATCAATACGTCAGCCGTGTTACAGTAGCATGCAGGCATCAATACGTTAGCCGTATTACAGTAGCAGACAGTCATCAATACATCAGCCGTGTTACAGTAGCAGAGTCATCAATACGTCAGCCGTGTTACAGTAGCATGCAGTCATCAATGCGTCAGCCGTGTTACAGTAGCATGCAGTCATCATTACGTCAGCCGTGTTACAGTAGCAGACAGTCATCAATACGTCAGCCCTGTTACATTAGCAGATAGTCATCAATACGTCAGCCGTGTTACAGTAGCATGCAGTCATGAATACGTCAGCCGTGTTACAGTAACACGCAGTCATCAATACGTCAGCCGTGTTACAGCAGCAGACAGTCATCAACACGTTAGCCGTCTTACATTAGCAGATAGTCATTAATACGTCAGCCGTGTTACAGTAGCATGCAGTCATCAATACGTCAGCCCTGTTACAGAAGCATGCAGTCATCAATGCGTCAGCCGTGTTACAGTAGCATGCAGTCATCATTACGTCAGCCGTGTTACAGTAGCAGACAGTCATCAATACGTCAGCCGTGTTACATTAGCAGATAGTCATGAATACGTCAGCCGTGTTACAGTAGCATGCAGTCATCAATACGTCAGCCTTGTTACAGTAACATGCAGTCATCAATACGTCAGCCGTGTTACAGCAGCAGACAGTCATCAACACGTTAGCCGTGTTACATTAGCAGATAGTCATCAATACGTCAGCCGTGTTACAGTAGCATGCAGTCATCAATACGTCAGCTGTGTTACAGTAGCAGACAGTCATCAATACGTCAGCCGTGTTACAGTAGCATGCAGTCATCAATACGTCAGCCGTGTTACAGAAGCATGCAGTCATCCATACGTCAGCCGTGTTACAGTAGCATGCAGTCATCCATACGTCAGCCGTGTTACAGTAGCATGCAGTCATCCATACGTCAGCCTTGTTACAGTAGCATGCAGGCATCATTACATCAGCCGTGTTACAGTAGCATGCAGTCATCAATACGTCAGCCGTGTTACTGTAGCATGCAGTCATCATTACGTTAGTCGTGCTACAGTAGCATGCAGTTATATGACGGCGGTCTGTGTATATCGAGTCAGGACCTACACACTAACCTTTCCGGTTTCTATTCTTCGACCACTATTGAAGTTACTGTGGACAGGGACATTTTATTTTGACCTGAGCCTCATAATGTCAGCAACATCCCTGTGACGTTTCTATCTGACGATAAAGTCTTAGAACTGTAGATAACTTGGACGAAGATAACGGTAATGGAGCTTATCAGGTGTTTGAGACACACACATGAATGGACGACAAACTACAGTTGATAAAGTCGTTAAAGATAATAAGAAAAAATTTTCGTCAACCATGTTGATGTGACGATCTACGGTGACAAGGGAAAGAGTATCTGAAAGTGAGTGAGAGAGTGAGTGAGTGAGTGAGTGAGTGAGTGAGTTGGGTTTGACGCCGCTTTTAACAGTATTCCAGTTATATCACGGCGTGCCAGCTTAATGTGGGAGGAAAGCCCGAAGTGATGCAGGTCTCAGACCTTTACCACTTCGGTGAAACCCACGAGCACGGGTAGGGTGCTGACAAACCTAGAAACATAATCGGGGCGAACCGGGATTCGAACCCACAATTATAGGTTTCTGGCGTGCCCAAGGGACGCAACTCTGATCAGCGAATCGCGGCGCCTTAGACGACTGGGCCCCGTGCCCCATCTGAGAGTGAACGTGACTGGCTAACATGTACTAAGCCTTACGTTAAACATCAGCTGAAACAAATATATAGTGCGCAACGGAAGAACTTTGATCGCCTTAATAGAAAACTGAAAAGACAGTATTAACTAAAGAAACAACTAAACTTATTGGACAATTAGGTACAGATAAGGATTTCTGGAAAGTTATCGGCAAAATCAGTATTGGAAGTGAAAGAAATTCCGGGTTACCCATGAAAGTGATAACAAAGGAAGCACTTTGTGCTCAGATAAACCGTCACTGCTTGAAATTGCAAACCGGGCTTTAAAGTCTACTTCAGTCTACTCGGAGAAAAACCAGGATTTGGACAACTGTCATTTACAAGTGAGTGAGTGAGTATGGTTTTACGCCGCTTTTAGCAATATTCCAGCAATATCACGGCGGAGGACAACAGAAATGGGCTTCACACATTGTACCCATGTCGGGAATCGAACCCGGGTCTTCGACGTGACGAGCGAACGCTTTTACCACAACGCTACCCGACCGCCCCTCATGTCATGTCATGGTTGGATAAGGGAGAAGCAGCGCGCTCTTTAGAAGATGAAGATGCGATTCTGAATCAGACTATAACTAGAGATGAGGTTGTGAAGGCAGCAGTGAGTGACAAGTCTTGAAGGCAGCTGGGCCATACAGTGTTCCGGAAGAAGTTTTGATAAACGAATACTGCTTTGATATTTTGTATAACCGTTATTCTGTTTGTTTAGAAGGAGGCATCAGCCCTGAAAAATGGAAAAGTAGCGTCATACTCCCTATCGTTAAGACGGACACCAATATCCGAATCCCGTCCACATATAGCGTCATAAGCTTACTGTCTGTACCCTGTATTGTGATGTTTTAAATCAACGTCTCTCAACATGGCTTGAATTAGAAGATTTTTTTGGGAAGAGCAGAATGGATTCCTGAAGAAAAGTTGTTTTGACTACTTGTTCACCTAATATTCACTTGTTAAAAACAGATTAGATGCAAAACAACAAACGTATGCATGTTTCATAGACTTTAAAAAGGTTTTCGACAATGTGGATAGATCATGCCACTGGTTTAAACAGAGGAAAGTGGTCGATGTTAAAACGATACAGTCATTGAATAACATTATAAAATGTGCTGTGCGTGTCCCCTTTGATGGCCCCTTTCTTTGACGTAGCTAAAGGTGTGACGCAGGGCTGTTTGTCGTCACCCTCGTTATTTGCCCTATTATACATAATCTAGCGATTGATATCAATGACCCGAGGTATTGCGTCATGATGGACATCGTACACGTTTCTGTACGACTTTGCATCGACGATGTTGTCCTTCTAGCCCCAACAGACGACAAGTTACAGCGTATGCTGGGTGTGGTGACAAGCTGGTGCTCCAAGTGGCGTCTCAACGTTAAGAGGAAAACCAAGATTGTGCATTTTAGAAATAAGTCTGTAGAACCCTTTACATATCCATTTTCGTGTGCCTATAAGTACCTGGGTTTGTTGTTCGAGGTGTGAGGTGAGGTGAAATTGGGTTTAACGTCTCGTCCAAAATTATTGCACTTATATAGCGACGTGCATGCACGTGTGTGGCTGTTTGTACTAGTCCGGACTGATGCCGATTTATAGTGCTAGCACACTGAGATACCATGCCGCAGTTTAACATGAATACCCCACTCAAACACAGTATACTGACTCCGAGCCGACCACTCCTTGATTTAGCCCCTTAATGCCGAGCGCAAGGCAGGATAACAACAAGTACCATCTTTTAACGTCTTTTGGTATGACGCGGCCCGGGACCGAACACCGGACCTTCCGCTCCCCGGGCGGACGCTCTACCACTAGACCACGGAGGCGGTCTTGTTCGAGGAGCATCTCAACATGCAGTATACTATAAAGGAGAACGCCAAGAGTGCTGGGCGCGCTCTGTCTCCGGTGACATGGCTCACGACGTTTTCACAAAACTGTATGAATCATCTGTGATACTGCTGTACAGGGCACCGATATGGGGACCTTACAGCCACAGAGAAATTAATAACATACAAAACAGAGCCGGACGCTTCATCATAGGCGTGTCACGTACAAGACCAGACACTAGCGGTCCAAGGTGAAATGGGTTTGTCCTCGTGCCTCACAAAACAGACTTGAAACATTCAGAAGGTTCTTCAAAGTCAACGAAAACGAAGATGATATACTGCCACACAGAGGTTTAGAATGTATCAAAAGAAGAAAAATCATTTTTTAACACTGCCATTAAAATAAGCAAGCATTTGGATACTTAGGGCTTGATATTCATGCCAGGCTCAACTAAGTATGCGATGTCTCTTATAAATAAAAACAATAGATGAAATACGTGGTTTGAACAACTCTGGAACGATGATCGAATCCACAGCATGGGAATAAGCTACGCAACTATCATCATTTTCAAAAATGATATTGCCACGGAACTTTACTTGCAAACCGTTATATCCAGGAATCTCAGAAAATGTCTCTCCAGACTACGTCGTGGAAGCCTCTCCCTCATGTGGAGACAGGTCGGCACAATAGACCCCCCCCCCCCCCCCCCCCCCCCTTTAGAGCACAGAATGTGTTATTTTTGTACCAGAGTGAGAACAGAAGTTCATTTCCTTTATTATGCCCTAAAATACAACATCAATTGTCTTGTTACAGACCGCCTCCGTGGTCTTGTGGTAGAGCGTCCGCCCGGAGAGCGATAGGTCCAGGGTTCGATCCCGGGCCGCGTCATACAAAACGACGTTAAAAGATTGTACTTGTTGTTACCCTGTCTGGCGCTCGGCATTAAGGGGCTAAAACAAGGACTGGTCGGCTCGGAGTCAGTATACTGTGTCTGAGTGGGGTATTCATGTTAAACTGCGGCATGGTATCTCAGTGAGCTAGCACTATAAATCGGCATCAGTCCGGACTAGTACAAACAGCCACACACACACATACACGTGCATGCACGTCGCTATATAAGTGCAATAATCTTGGACGCGACGTTAAACCCAATTTCACCTCACCTCACCTCTTGTTACAATTCTAAAGAGTCTAAAGATCTATTCATTAAATTGTTATCTGAAAATAATCCTAAGCGCATCAAATGTATTCTTCTACCACAAGAAACATATTTTTAGACGACAATTATTCAAATGAAAGTTGCATTGTGTATTGTTCTACATCATTTTATAACAATTATATCATTACAAATGGTATTTTACCGTACGTAATATAATAAATAGGTTGTGTCTCGTGATCCAGAGCGCTGAGCCAAACCAAACGCTTTCCTAAGATAATGGTGATCTATTCTTCTAGGAGTCACCGCGGAAGGCAAGGTGGTGCGGTGGTTTGAAGGACTGGTATCTGTATAGGTGCACGGCAGATAATTTTACATATCAATGGCCAAGAGGCCCCGAGAAGGATCACGCACCTGAAGCCCCGACCACGTGGCTACTCGACCTACTTTTTCTCGTTAGTCATCCGCGTGTCCGCGAACCTCCACGAGAATACGGATTGACCCGGAATGTGACGAGTGGCCACGATTGTAGTTAATCGTGATTTCTTGGGTCATCGTGTCTAGGAAAACACAGAATGCTTTGATAATCAAAGAAAGAAACGAGGGTTAACGAACTGTCAGTTTCGTTGAATTGTTAGTTTCGTTTCAATCCATTTCCTTATTTGTGACGGGTGCCGGTGGAGCAGGATACGCTCACCTTTTCGCGACGAACACACTATATCATCACTATTTGATTGTGATTCATAAACACATATTTATGACATCGTACAATGCATTCTGATTTCAGTAGATATGTCTTATGATAATGGAAAGAGTTTTGTCGTTTGTACTTAAGACTGTATGTTGTGAGTGAGTGAGTGAGTGAGTTAGTGAGTGAGTGAGTTGGTTTTAACGCGGCTTTTAACAGTATTCCAGTTATATCACGGCGTGTCAGGTTAATGTGGGAGGAAAGCCCGAAGTGATGCAGGTCTCAGACGTTTACCACTTCGGTGAAACCCACGAGCACGGGTATGGTGCTGACAAACCTAGAAACATAATCGGGGTGAACCGGGATTCGAACCCACAATCATAGGTTTCTGGCGTGTCCAGGGGACGCAACTCTGCACAGCGAATCACGGCGCCTTAGACGACTGGGCCACCCGTGCCCCCTAAACATTACCTAGCTACATGCATTCTTATTGATTATTGATACTCCATGTTTGTCGTAGGATCGGGTTAGAATGAAGATCAAGTGCTCTGGCCATGCGATGTTGCTGATTATATTTTTAAATATATATTTACGTTTGTTATCGGACGCAAATGATGAAAGGCTGGTCGTGCCATAAACCAATTGTCTTCCTGTCCTTGACCCGGTGATATTTAGATGTCCTTGACAGAGCTGGAATATTGCTGACTGTAGCGTGAATCATTAACTGTCAAATCATCTTCCTCCTCTTCCTTAAACTCAGTACACGTCGGGGCGGTCGGGTAGCCTAGTGGTTAAAGCGTTCGCTCGTCACGCCGAAGAGCCGAGTTCGATTCCCGACATGGGTACAATGTGTGAAGCCCATTTGTGGTGTCCCCCGCCGTGATATTGCTGGAATATTGCTAAAAGCGGCGTAAAACCATACTCACTCACTCACTCAGGGCATCTCCGTACATCCCTACTTGCCGTGAAGAGTTTAATACCTTAGGTGTCGTGGCCCGCTGGTCTGACATTTTTTCACCCACACCTAGCCTTGTAGACCTCCGATAAGAAAAATGCACATTTTGGAGAAACAGACATTCAAAAGGTGCACTTATCAAACATTCAAATATGTTTCTAAAATAGTCATGTAATGCCTAAGATGTAAAAATTTGAACCTTTTATTCTGAAATACTAAGGGAGATGTTAGTAAAATAAAAAGGCACATATTCATGCTACATTCTTTGACAAATGCTCCACATCACAATTACTCCTCTGCATCAGTTTTGCCATGATGTACAGATTCCCGTTGGCTGGTACAGTGATTTATTGCGTATGAAAACCTAATGGTGCCACTTCGGTAGCATACTTGTATTTTTATAAATTTCATTTATTTGTTGATGTTTTTCGAATTTTCATTATTTGTCGGTTGAAATAAACTTGAAGTAACGAGAAAATAATCGAAGTAACCAGAAAAACTTGAAGTGACGAGAAAAACGCGAAATTTCTAGAAAATTATAGAAATATCGAGAAAATAATCAGGTAACCAGAAAACACTCGAAATTTCGAAAAAATAATTAGATAATTGGCATAATGAGAAATTTAGATGTAAAAAAATATAATTATGCAACAAAAGTGGTACCATTAGGCTTCCGTAATTGCAATAGCCGGTCGCTGCTGAGCTTGCACATATCATTGTGACAACGAGATAAGTCGAGAGATAGGATTACTTCATTATTTCACGGGGACGAGTGTGAAACAGACATACATCATTCATTTCTGATCTTACTCGACTTTAAATAAATGCCACTTTACAAATCAGTTATATCTAGTCTTGTCACTTTATGGTCAGAAGTGTCGTTGGCTCGAACAGTTCTATACAATCCACCCCCTCCCCTTTGTATCGTCAACCAGACCAGATTCCTCTTTTAAAACCACGTGTATGTCGTAAATATTGTCTAGTCTTGTGATACGCTCTAAAAGCGGCGTACAAGTCCTGCCCCACACTCACACTTCCCCACCCCTCTTACCTCCCACACGGTCCACGTCCCGCACCCCACGGCCGGAATCTGGTCACCCCCGGGCAAAGCAACCGACTTGGGAACAGACATCGTTAAATCTGACACCTCTCAGTCTTATCGGTCTAAATAATAGCCTTTCGTGAATGACCCCCTGCACTGACCTCAATAACTGGGTCATGTTATCTGAAGATGTACGCCTCGCCCGACTGACGTGTACAAATTCAAACAACAGTGTCATTGAAGCTATATTCGAGTAGAGATGAAGATCTATGTCATCAGTATTGACTGAGAGTCTAATACTTGCCCGAAATTAGGTTAAATCCAACCCAATATTGACCGAATGGTTTACGGGGGATCATTTCTCATTTCCGGTACATTTTCACCTCGAAATCCCGGACGCTGTTAATCTGGACACTCTTCTTTCGGAACTTCTACCGTTAGGTGGGTCTACATGGAATTTAGACCAGCCCTTTAAAAAAAATAGTTTACGAATCCGTCGACTCCAAAAAAAATGAAATGTGAGAAAAATAAACAAATGAATACCAGTGTTATATTCCGCCGACCAAAAAAATATGAAATGCAAACAAACCCCTTATTTACGGTCGCTGTCAAAGAGCTGTTAAAGAATTAAAAAAACAGCGAAATAAGACATATCGCGAGAGGAAACTCCCCCAAAACGTTTAACTGAAATTAGAAAAGATACTAAACTGATAAATTGTCCGGTCAACCGACCTGCTCTCTTTTTGACCCGACTCGGTAACCCCCGAAAAGGTATCGCCTTATTTGCAGAGGAATTTACTCATCGATTCTGATTAGTTTATCCGCAAATGTGTTAATCCCCATGACATCATTAAGAACGGTCCGGTCCGCGTTAAAAACTGTATTGTATATGACTATCATGGGAAAAGGAAGGGTCAAGAATTTGAAGCTATTGTAACCCGCTGTTGCAGACACTCCCTTCAAATAATGCATGTAAAAACAAACCGCATATGTTTCTTTTTCGTCTGAATAAAAAAACACATTTGTGAGCAACACTGTTCGCTGGCATGTATTTGAAGAAGTATAGAACAACAGTCGGTTGATATTTTTCGGTTCAGGTTTTGGAAACGATATTGACATGACTGACAATCTGACTTGAACTTGTCTGACATATTTGGTTTGTAACTTTGCATTGACAAGATCAGCTGTGTCATGTGTGAACATATACAATGTGTACAAATGGTAGTTTTTTTAACGCGTTAACTCTGCCTTTCACCTGTTTGTTATATTGACCTAGTCCCCTTTTGTGTTGAATATCCTGGTGTGATTTCCGTGGAAAGGTTTTCATGTAAGAGCAGACTAAAATGTGGATTATTTGTGCGGGAGGACCTGATTCCGTGGCGTTATACTCCCACGACGTGGGTCGTCGACTAGACTAAGATGTGTTTGTTTGTTTTTTAACGCCACACTCAGCAATATTCCAGCTGTACGACGGCGGTCTGTATATAATCAATCTTGGATCAGATGTTCCAGTGATTGACATCATGAGCATCGATCCTCGCAATACGGATACGCTGAGGCAACGAAGTCAGCGAACCTGACCACCCGATCCCGTTTGTCGCCTTATACAGCAAACAGGGGTTGCTGAAGACCTATTCAAGCCCGATCTTCATGGGTGACCAAGCCCAGAACCACCGGTGTGCCACGTTTCATGTTAGCTGGTGTGACAGGAAGAATATTGCAGCTTAAACAACACTCGTTCACTTAACACACTCCTGAAATCTGTGATTCTACTAACGACTGCTCATGTATTCATTCACACAACAATCACATCTGCCATCCCAAATGTGGAGGATTGCACACATATCAAACCTTGGCTGACGAAGAAGATGTTATCCCGGGCATCTGACGTCTCGGACGATGTCGTTTTTTTCCGTACACGTGATCAGGGGGCACGGGTGGCCCAGTCGTCTAAGGCGCCGCGATTCGCTGTGCAGGGTTGCGTCCCTTGGGCACGCCAGAAACCTATGATTGTGGGTTCGAATCCCGGTTCGCCCCGATTATGCTTCTAGGTTTGTCAGCACCATACCCGTGCTCGTGGGCTTCACCGAAGTGGTAAACGTCTGAGACCTGCATCACTCCGGGCGTTCCTCCCACATTAAGCTGACAACTGGAATACTGTTAAAAGCGGCGTTGAACCCAACTCACTCACTCACTCACTACACGTGATCCGTTAATCGGGAATATGTTACCACGGGATATTTCAGTCCGTCAAAGAATCAACTATAACATACTAGTTTTATTGTTCAAGGCATTCTACAACGAAGCTCAAACATGTCTTGCTGATCTCGTAGTGAAGTACCTGCCATCATGTCCCTCCCCTCAGGTCATCAGTCGACTCAAGGCGAGGTCTGTACCTTCACGTACTAAGACATTTGGCAATGGGTTATTTCAAGCTTCATCAAACTCCCACTTGGTGTCAGCTGAACGGCAGAACTATGTACTTTCAAATCCAGATTGAAGACATCTATTCAATGAGGCTTTCATCAACATGTCCACATAACTGTTTTTTCAGATATGTTCCAGATTCGACAGTGCTTCTATTCATCCATCCATCCATTTATCCCTATCCATCCATCTATCTTTCTATCTATCTGTCTATCTATCTATCCATTTATCCCTATCCATTCATCCATCTATCTGTCTATCCATCCATCATCCACCCATTTATCCCTATCCATCCATCTATCTATCCATCCATCCATCCATCCATCCATCTATCTATCTATCTATCTATCTAGCTACCTACCATCCATCTATCTATCCATCCATCCATCCATCCATCCATCTACCTACCTACCTACCTACCTACCTACCTACCCATCCATCCATCCATCCATCCATCCATCGTGGTGAGATGCACTGATGTACAGTAGCTCATATGTTATTAAATTCACAAAATAATAAGCAACACGGATTGTTGTCCTACATGTTTCAGCTTTATCTTCAGGGAGAAGTGATTACAGTTACAGAAAACTATTACGACGTCACAATGTAACAACAGATAAAGAACCCCAATACAAGGTGCATCCCCTCAAACGCTCAAGCATCCCTCACATCGACAAATGCGCAGCAGGAAAGGATTAACAATTTACGATATTCCCTTTCTTTAAAAGGAATACTGCTGATGCCATGCAACGTAAAGCTAAAGAACACTTTTTCATTAAAAAGATGTGTTCATTGTTAAATAGAGAATCTCACCCGAGGGTCTTTTGATACTAATTATATCAACACGGGTTGATAAAAGTGGAAAAATTCCGAGGCTTGCCGAGGATTTTTGTCACTTTTATCAACGAGTGTTGATATATTTGATATCAAAAGACAAAAGGGTGAGATTTTATTTATCATCCAACATCATTCTTTCAACTTTTTCAATTTGTAGACAGTAATTAGCTGTATCTTCAGTGTAAAAAGTACTGCAAACTGCTTCAGTAGCAGAGCCATTCGTGATGTCATTTGATTGTGACGTCATGGTAACCAGTGATGTCACAATGGTCTGCAAAGCATTGTGATGTTCTTACACACCTGTGGGTGAGAAACCCATTTGAGATAACTGGTATCAAACATATGTGTGAGATCGAATTCCAAGCCCGTGATTGGCTACTCCATGGTGATGACCTAGGGTCAGATGATGACGGACTACTTTCCTGAGTGTAAGTCATTCATAAGTTGCTCGTGCTTCAGTCAAATGTTCACCTACGTCTGTATTGAAAAACAGGACCATGTAATTAATAATAAAAATAAACAAACTCTTCCTCGTCTGCGAGTTTGTTTGTTATTATTATCAGTTACATTATCTGTTGTTTTGTCAACATTATCGTGTTTTCAGAGTGTAAACCCCCTGGATGCCCCAGCGACACATATGTCCATCCCCTGTAACCCTCACTTCGAAATCGAATAAAATTCAAAATACATCACGCAAACACTTCACAGTTTTGAATTCCCCCTTCTGTTTATCATTTACTGTCATTTTAGGCAATTCAATATATTACTTATAAATATTTACTGTGTGTTTAGAAATCTAAATATCGGATATTTACTCGAATAATTAAAGTAGAAAAATAGCATATTAGCGATCACGGGTATCAAATCACTAATGATAATTCTGAAACGTCGCTGATAAGCCTAGAATCGTCTAGAATGTTTTGGAAAATATGCATACACGAACGCCGAAGCGTTCCGCCATATTGGATTGTGTTTACAAAATGCCTGTTATGAGACGCCTGTACTCGATCAGGTATATTTCAAACTCAGCTGCTATACATGCATCCCTGAATTCCTCATACATTTTCGAAACAATGGATAAATGGTCTTTGTCACCAATGCAAATTATCTGGATGAAATCATGCGAAATAAATTAGGTATGGAAACGAAAACTGTGCTCGGAAAATTGTACTTGCTGAAATGTAAACAAAGCAAATATTCAGATTTTACACTGTGTAGCATTAAAGAGGTACTTTCGTCTAATTGTTGCATACACTGTCTCGATCACGCGTTTGAGAATATTCATGGGAAGAGTATCGTTGCACTAATTATGGAATTACACATATATACATTACAATGATGTGGTAAATTCAACAGAAGCCGTAAAATTTCCGTCCTGTGTGACGACATGACTGACGCTAAATCACGCACAACGATGACGGTAGTTATCTGCATTTCTGACCAATTCTCTTTGTTACATTGGAAAACATGGTAAACAAATAACAGTACGCAGATTGTCAGAATGTTTCTGATTACTTACGTGACACATTTATGTGTATACGATTCGTCAATCAACGAAAATCTCCTCTGGAAATCCCGCGTACTGTTCTCAGTGAACACGCCATTTTGTAAAAGTCGGTCACCGGTAGTGATGTCATATGGAAGTAAACATTGTTGTTCATATTTGGTCATTTCTTTGAGGTGTAAACTTTCAACTTGGCACCCAGCGTGTTCTTGGTTTTTGTCTAGTATACATTTTCATCATCGCCTTGATAATCCACAGATAGGACGGAAACCTTTTTGTGTAGGGTCACATTATTTATGAGTAGTAAGCAGCACATAGGATGACGTCACTTATGACAGTGGTATTATGTATTAATGCGCTACTGCAATCATGAGAC